AGCTCAGCTCGGGCCGGACTCGAACCGCTGTTGCTCAGAGCTCAAACCCTTGAGCGAGCTCTTAACCAACTGAGCCACTCGGCCAGCCCTTTCATCAACTTCATTTCTCATTGGCCCTGCTGCTTCTAGCCTTTGCACACAGCAAGTGCCCAATAATTGCCCATTAAATCAAACCAAGTTAACATCAAGATAGGAGGCTACTAAGTTGCTCAAGACAATGACTGCCTCCTTTCTACAAAACAGCTGCGCCATCTGTATCCAGACCCTTAAAACCAGGCTTGCAAAGTCAAGTCTTCAGAGGCCAGACAAGTGTGATGTGGGTGGACGTAAGAAGACAATGACATGAGGACAAGGATGATGGGTTACTGACACATAAGGACCAGGGAGAGCAAATAGGGAGGGCTGGGCACCGGCGAGCTGGGGGGTGGATACCCAGTCTGCAGAGGGAGCCTCTGACCCCCTCCTGCCATGGACTTACAGCCGTATGATGCCTGATCTTCAGGCTTTCTCAAAGAAAGCCAGAAACCCAGTATTTTACTTAAAATGTCCCAATGGCAACCAACTCAAAACTTTAAAAAGAGATGATCAATTATGAGCTAAAGGAAACATTCCCGTGAGCCAGATGAAGCCCAGCTGTGTTTGCAACCCCTGAAATAAAACATTTGTGCCATCTGATGCATTCATACCACCCTGAGGTATAAGGGGGCACCCTATACCCAGGGTAGTACCCTATGCCCCAGACTTGATTTGTTTTAAATGTTAGCAAGGGAGCTGTGTTGGGGGCTAGTTGGCAGTTCTGGATTCTGGATGGAAAGATGCTGATTATCTTAGCATTTTGAAGATGGCTTTTGTTTTAGGAAATTCACCTGGATGGGCCATTTAGTCACAGGAAGCCAGGACCCATGCAGTGTTCTGGGGGAAAACTGAGGTCTCCATGAAACCAAATGCTATTTCACAGACCATGGGGTTCGGGGTCTTTAGTTGTGCACATCAACTACATCTTTATCTTGATAGTACACTAAAGGTAAGGAAAATATTTCCTCTAAAGAGATTTTGGCTGGATTCCTGATGTCCCCAGCCTTGAATAAACCGTGATTATGTGCTCTTGGACCATGTGGGGTTAGTGAGGGGAGTTTCCACAGAAGGAAATGGATGTCCCTATTGTTAAGCATCCAGGAGCAGGAAGGATTGTGGGGTGGGGAAGGGGATGGCACTCTGGCAGGGGGGTTATGGGGACTCCCTTACCAAGGGGAGGTGAGCTGGGTCCTGCCCCATGAGAGCTATGGGGAGAGAGACCCAGACGTGAGATGAGAGCGTCACCTGGAAGCACTGCGCTCTCCCACTGCGCACTGGGCAGACACCATCATGTGGCCTTAATCATGTTGGTAGGACTTGTATGCATTAGGAGGGAATGGGTTTGGGGAATGCAGATGGCTTGGGCAGAAGCAGTGGCTCTGAGCATAAAAGCCGGCCAAAGTGTCAGGCCACCACATCCCTCAGGGATCCCCCAGGAGCTCCTCGTGGAGGGGAACCCCAGAAGAAAGACAACTGGAAATTCACCCCACAGAAATGTAGATATTGAGGCATGTGGTCGTTCCTTGTGGAGTTAATCAGAAGCAACCAGGGTGTCCAATAATAGAGGATCAGCGAAAAAAGCCACACAACAGTCATTTATTGGAATGTGATATAGCGATTAGAATGTTGAAGAATTGTTAAGGTCATGGGAGAATGCTTATGATATAATAAGTGAAAAAGCAAAACACAAACTTGGATGTAACAAGATGATCTTGGGTGGAACAGACTTTTTAATGTCCAAAAACTGAGGATCAGTGAAATAAATTATGCTTGCCCATGAGTGGCCCAAAATATTAAGAGTCGTCTCAGATTTTTACACTTACCAGTTGGTAGATGTATTTGAAATATATAATACTTGCAAAACACACATTACTTAGTTACCAAAAACTATAGGTCCCCAAAATAAATGAGATTTATACCTGTGGCCAAGAATAGAGAGCCATTTCTCACTTGCTCAAGGAATTCACCCCAAAACCTTGATTAGCCTTTCCTTATGCTAAGTACCAAGTGATTTTCCTGGAAAACGCTGTGTAAATGGACAATAATAATGCTGATTCAGGAGCTGAATTTCTGAGTCATAAGGGATCACAGGTATAGGAGACATGTTTTATTTCATCAGTTTCCTTTCATGCTTAGTGGAAAACCCCATCCTGGGAAACATGCCCATTGTCCCTGGCTGGACACACAGCTTCTGCCTAATGAAAGGGTAGGTGCTGAGTTCCTGTGTCTTTCTGGGGCTCCCTAAGTTTCCACCACTGCAGAATTCTTATCTTCACACCATTCTGAATTGTCACTCCTTCTTGCTTCATGTACCTTCCTTCTGGGATCATTTTCATTCTTCCTCAAGTATGTTTTTTACTTTAGAATTTTTCATAGTGAGAGTCTGTTGGTAGTGAATTCTTTCAGCTTTTGTGTCTGAAAATGTCTCATCACCCATGTTCATTCTGACTTTGAAGTCTCTTTAGTGCACTGCCTGTGACGCACATCACAGTTTGGTTGATGCTGATTCAATAATAAAACTTGCATTCTTTTTTACATTCTGAACAGAGGTTTTACTGGTTTGACAGGAGATTTTAATTACATTTTCCCAACATTTACAGTTAATACATGGGCTGAGGCTGCATTCCTCTAAGGCTCCATGGCGGGCTGGAGCACTACTTCCAAGATGGTCAAATGGCTGTTGACAGAAGGCCCCAGTTCCTTGCTGGCTGGTCACAAGAGGACTCAGTTTCTTACCATGTGACCCTCTCTATAAGGCTGCTTGAGTGTCCTCATGGCCTGCAGCTGGCTTCCCTCAGAGAAAGTGATCTGAGAGAGAGGAGAGAGGGGAGAGAGAGGAGAGAGAGAGAGAGAGAGAGAGAGAGAGAGAGAGAGAGAGAGAGAGAGAGGAGAGAGAAAGAACAGGAAGATGCAAGAATACCTTTTATGACTTAGTCTCAGAAGTAACATGACATCATCTCTGCCACATTCTGTTAGAAGAGAGTCACTAAGCGCACCCCACATTCAAGGGAAGGGGATTAAGCTCGCTTCTTAAAGGAAGTGTCAAGTAATTTGTGGTCATATTTCAAAACCATGAAATACAAGAAGTACCAACAAGCTGGTTAATTAGTGTCACCAGTTCAAAGAGTATCACATGGAAGTCTCTGAGCAAGAAAACTAAAAGTGCCCTGAAATCTTGTAGCTTTTATGTGAAATAACTTGACTGAGTTTTTCCCAAGTGTGACAACAACCCTAAAAATTTCATAATATTACCCATAACAAGTTGAGAAGATGAAAGAAATCTTTCCAAACTATCAAAACATTTTTTTCAATCAACCATGCTGGAGAAAAGATCATTTTTCTATTCTCTCTAGAAAATATTTTAAAAGCATTGTTGGGGTTAGGGTGGGCAAAATGGGTGAAGGTGGTCAAAAGGTACAAGCTTCCAGTTATAAAATAAATAGCTTTTGGCATGTAATGTACAGCATGGTGACTATAGTTAATGATACTGTATTGTGCATTTGAAAGGTGCTAAGAGAGGAAAGCTTAAAAGTTCTCATCACAAGAAAAAATTTTAATAATGTGAGGTGATGGATGTTATCTAGACTTATAATGGTGATCATTTCTCAATATATACAAATGTTGAATCATTATGTTGCACCCTTTAAGGTAATATAATTATATCTCAATAAAAAAGTAAAAAATAATTACAATGTTCTGTACTATTGAAGTTGTTACTCTAACACACAAACACACACAAAAACCATTATCATATGAAGAGGTGACCAAAGAATGTGTGGCGAAAAAAATGTAGGAAAAAGAATATTACAGATGTGTGCAAGGTAGTTAATTAATAAAAGTATTGTGTTATTTCCTGGCTTCTGTGCTGTTTGTGGTATCTGTCAGCAGGGTTGGCTTCATGGGTGAGTGACCAGTTTCACAGGGACGGCGCGCCCCACACTCAAGGCTTAATGCTCTGCAGTCACTGTCTTCAACTTCTTAATGATTTTATCTTTGAATTTGTGTTTTGCATGTGAGATCAAATGAGACAATAGAGGATGCAACAGAACCGTGGCTCCTGCATGGTTCCATTCTTGCTGCCTCCTTGCCTCCTCAGGATGACTGCTCTCCTGTGCCTCTGGCAGCCTGGCTGCCTCCTCTCTGCTCCTGTCCAGTGCCCACTGCCACCCTCTACTTAAGTGAGGGCCTGGGTGCAGGTGTCTGGCTGGGTCAGAGTGGGTCCGGTTGAACTCGTGTGCTCTGTGGCCTCTCTGGGCTGGGCATGGCATTGGCCAGCCCACCATTTGATGGTCAACTCAGCAGGGGCAAGCCTCTCACCCATCCCTGATTCAGGTACCTAGCATGTCCTGGCACTGAGGTTGTAATACCTTCGAGGGTTGTCATGAATTGAGGTGGTGGTGTATGGGAAGGCGAGATGCGTGGCTGGACCTTCCTGCCCCAGCAAGGTCAGCTGGAGGGCGAGGGACCAGCAGCCATCAAACCCATAGACATACTCCATCCAAGTCCAAGGCCAGCCCTGGCTCCCTGGAGCAGCAACACTGGCCCATCCAGCATCCCCGCACCCAAAGGTGTGTTCCCTAGGCTGCGCTACACCTGCTGGACCCCCTTGTCCTCCTTCGAGCCTTCCTGTGTCTGGCCTGTGTTCATCTCTTCAGGCCAGCTCCAGGCACTCTCCATGGACAAGTCATGAAATACGATTTGGGTACTTTCAGCGATTCTGCATCTGTAGTAAATGCTCTGATATTTGTATCCTAAACTGACATTGTCCAATATAAAGACAAACAGTAAAGTTCGTGATCATAATTAAGTTTGTTCTTTACTTAGAATGACATTAATAGCAAACAGGAAACACCCCAAGTCGAGAGACTGCTAAAAACAGAAAAAAAGTTTTATATTTTAGTACCTTTAACAGTTTGTTTTTTCCAGCTTTTGAACTGGGGACCCCACATTTTCATTTTGCAATGGGGCCCGCAAATTATGCAGAAGATCCTGTTTGTCAGCTTCATTCCATTAGTAATTTATTGTGATTTATTTTCTCATCCTACAGAATTGTTCACTTTCTACCTAAGTCTGCACTTTCTCAAAAAGAGTCCCCAGAATGATAAAATCTTTAGACCGCCGCATTAGCTGTATCCTCCTCGACTCCCCCAATATCGACCTTATCTTGGAGTGATGCCATTACAGTTTAATTCTTCTTTTTCTCTTACACTTTACATACAGTAAGCCTGTAAAACTCTTAAGATTAATAAGAGGCAAAACATCACTCACAAGGGAGTGTCACTTCAAAAATTAAAGAAAATCGCTGGCACCCGAGGAGAAGCCGGAAAACCAGCAAGAGGAAGTTGGCGAGGAGTCGGGGTCCTTGGGAGGGAGCCCAGGAGCTGACAGACCCCTCGGAGTCGGCGCTCGGGCGCGTGCCCTTTAAAGGGCGGGGCCGGGGCGGAGCCTGGAGGCGGTGGCCCGCTCTCCCAGACTGCCCCGCGCGCGCGCCGGCAGTTCGGCCACGTCCCTGGCCACGTCGCGCCCGTTCTCGCCATCTTCGCCGCTTCCTCTCAGGGGCCGCCTCCGCCGCCTGAGCCGCCGAGCCCTGGGGCCGCCGCGCCTACCGCCGCCGCCATGAACATCTTCCGGCTGACCGGGGACCTGTCCCACCTGGCGGCTATCGTCATCCTGCTGCTGAAGATCTGGAAGACGCGCTCCTGCGCCGGTGAGCGGCGGGCGAGGCCCGGGAAAGGCTCGGGCGCGGGGCCGGGTCGCCTGGAGGACCCGCCGACCTCGGTTGCCCCACGGTCCGCGGGCCTGCCCTGGCCGGACACACCCCCTCGGCCGGCCTGGCGGGCGGCCGGACCCCAAAGGGCCTGAGACCCCTCTGGGTGGGCGCTCGGGCCGGGGCGGGGTTTCGCTGCGCTGGGCCCCGCTCCGCACCTGGTCCGCTCCCGAACTTGAGCGGTGGGGGCGGAGGAGGCGCCAACCTGACAGCGCTGGGCCCTGTTCTGCCTGAAAAGTTTGGATGTGGGGGTCCGGCAGGTGCGGGGAGCCTACGAATCCATAGCACGGGCGGGAGGAGGATGGGAAGGACCGCGGCCGGCTTGGCTTGACGTGGCAGCCAGGCCTGCCCGGGAGGTGGGGCGGGTGCGGGGAGAGGTCACCCACTCCTTACCAGGCCCCTTCGAGGACTGGCCTTTAGGTTAGGATGTCAGGTAAGACCTATCCTTGGAGTTGTGCTGACTTCACCCCACCCCTCGTGCCCAGGATCACGCCTGCCTAGGGAGGGAGTGTGGGGAGGTCTCCAAGCGAATTTCTTGGGGACACTTAATGATGCTTTGCGAAATGCACTAGTTTGTCAAACTCTGAGTGTCTCCATAACGGGTTCCCTTCAACCTGCGGCGCCTGCAGGGGACCGCCGACGTCTCCTGTAATTCCTCACTCCACGTCACCAGTGAGTTGGCGACTCCCTCTTTGAAGGTATACATTTTATGCCTGCATGGCTGGGAGGCAGTGAGACAATTCTTAACGCTGTGGACTTTTACATTTTGTAAAACCTAGAAGCTTAAGGATGGCGAATTTTTTAATCATTTCTTAAAATGCAGTGCCTTCCTTAAACTTACTCTTGGTGCTGTGGCCTCAATGAAATAACTTCTCATGAAGTCAAGAACTTAATTTTTGCAGAGGCAGTAAAAGGTGGAGTCCTAAAGGACTTGGGTGGCAGAGATTCCGTTTATCTGACTGATTTCTAAAAATTTCCACCTCTAACACCACATCTTTGATTGCTGTCTTCAGGCCTCACCTCTCTCCCTGGAACATAGCTGAGATCCAGGAAGTAAGCAAAAACAAAAAAGACCTTTGAGCAACAAAATCGATGTTACAAAGTCCACGTACTGAAACCAGTGTGCCTGGGTTGGAGGTGATCTCTCAATTTATATAGAGTTCTGAGAGATTCAGTTGTAAGATTTTCAGTGACAGCAAAGTAATTGCAGCAGTTGTGACAGCTGACATTTAAGCACTTGCTATGTACTAAGTAGTGAACTAAGTGCCTTTTATGGCTTATCCCATGTAGACCTTAAAATAACCTTATGAGGTGGGTGATATTGTTCCCATTCTGTGGAGGAAGGAACTGAGTCTAAGGGAGGTGAGAAAAGTAGTGGTAAAGCCAGGATTGAAATAGAGGCAATCAGTGTCTCGAAATTGAGTATTTTGAATAAGTATCTGTCTGTTTTGTCTAAGTAATTTTAGTTTAAACGTTTGATGCCAGACCAGTTGTTGTGGTCATTTTTTTTATTGCACTCAGAAAATGTTTTTTTTTTCCTGCTTTACTGAGATACAATTGACATATAACATTGTATTAGTTTTAGGTGTACAACATAATGATTTGATGTATGTATGTATATAGTGCAAAATAATTATATCAATAAGTTAACATCCATCATCACAGATAGTTACAATTATTTTCTTCTGATGAGAACTTTTAAGATCTACTCTCTTAGCAACTTTCAGACATACACAACAGTACTGTTAACTGTAGTCACCATGTTGTACATTACTTCCCCAGGACTTATTTATCTTATTTATAACTGGAAATTTGTACCTTTAGACTACCTTCACCCATTTTCCCCACTCCCCCCCACCCAGGAAATACTACTTTTAATCTTTATTTTTGCACCAAAATCTTTGTATCAGCCTCTTCATCTTCTTTCATGTGTTTCTCAGAATCCCTTCGTCTGTCAAGTCATTAAGTTGAACACGTATCTAAACTAAGATGTTGGGAAGAAGTGCAACTCCAGATATAGAATTCTTAAGGGAGCCTTGAGTGATAAGGAGATAGTGAGAGAGTTTGCTATTTAGTTTGTTTTTTAATATTCACTATTTTCATTTGGGAGATTTAGGAACATTTAGGAAAATATAAAAACATTTCAGCCAAAATAATAAGGACAATAAATAGGTGAATTAAGTTCATGTGTGTTTGTCAAGTATTCCTACAGTTAGCCGGTAGTTACAGGACATTATTAAACTATACTTATTGTCAGACTTAGGATCATTTTAGTTCTTGAGATTTTTCTGGCCTTTGAAAAATCAAAATCACCAAATCATTTATTCAGAATTAAATGCTAAATTTGACTAGCTGCTTTGTTTTTCCATCCTAAATTATAAAAGTTGTTTAGAGACTTTTGAAAGAGTAAGAATTTGATATGAGTTTCTCAAATAACTGGAATAGGAGACATGTACATCCAGGTTGTGTTTCTTACTTTCAAAATACTGGTATTGGGGTTCATTTTAGGAATTTGGCACCTGTTTGAACATGCCTGCAGCTACAGAGCCATGGGGCTTTTTCCCTTAGGGTAAGGGATGAGGCAGGGTAGTGAGGAAGCTGGAGATTCTGTTTTCCTGACCGTCTAATTTGAGAATGGTTGCCATAAGGGACCCGTTTTAAAGTGCGGGTAGAGGAGTTGATCTTGGTTTAGCTCTGTTTGAATTGGCATTCTCCTGTGTCTACCATTGTCATTACAGAGGGGCGCCCAAATGAAATGTGAGTTTCTCATAATCCTGAACAATCAGTGCAACTGGATCCACAGTATGATCAAGTTATCACTTTATTCTTGTCCTAAACGCTGACCTGGATAGCCTTGGGAGAACAAGCCTGGGTTTGTAGATGAAGAACTTCCTATCTGTATCTTCCTGTAGGCTGGTAGTTATTCATAGTGCTGTGTCTATTATGCTTAAATTACTGGTGGAATTCTGAGAGCCACGAGTCCCAGCCGTCCTCCCCTAGCCTCCCCCTTCCCTCCACCTATTGCTTAGATTGTTGTTAGCTGTTGTTATGTAGGCTTTTCACCCTACCAAACATGACAAGAATGTACCAGCGTCTCTGCATTTCTCATAACTGGATAGTTGATATTTTTGAAGTAAATGGAAAACACCCATCTTTTATTGTTGTCATTGAGTACCTCAAGAAGTGTTTGCATCACATTCCCAGGTCCCTCTTTGTAGCAGCTGTCACCTCTGTTTTTTGAGTGCCAGTCTCTTGAGTAATCTTTGCTCTTAAACATTTATTGATCACCCACTATGTGCAAGGCACTGGGGATACAATTCAGAGCAACAACTTGTAGCTATCAAAGTTTCTGCTCTCAAGAAAGCTGCAATTTAGTTGAAATAATAAGACATGTAAAAAGATTAAAATATAGGGTATTAACCCATATAAGCAGTCAATCTTATGTCTGTGAAGTGGCAGGAAGGATCCCAGGGAGGGCTCCATGACTTCCCAACCAGCAGTGATAAGACCCTATGAAGATAAGTATAAGACTTTGCTGATGTACGTTCAAACCATGGTCCTGGATAGGACCAGGCAAGCTGGTGCGCAAGCAAGGTGATAGGTCTCCCCAAATTCACTTATTCAGGATATCATCAAAATTAAAAGACAATAAACTGAGAGAAATAATCTACACTATATCTAAGTGACAGAGGGTTAATATCCATAATAAAATACTCCTAAAAAAAATTGACAAGGTTGGCAGTTCACAGAAAAATAACAGAAAGAAGAATAACAGAAAGCCAGCGAAGCATGAAAGAATGCCCAGCCTCACTAGTAGTTAGGAACTTGGCATAAAATAACAGTGCATATCATCATTTGCCCACTGGGTGGGAAAAAGTAAGAGGTTTACAACATCTACTGTAAGCAGGGTGTGGAATAAAGGGCATTCTCATCTGGTGTGAGTGAATATGTAAATTGGTATAGCTTGTCTAGCGAAAATTTGACAGTGTACCAAAAGTTTCATATATCCCAGCAATTCTAGAGACTCTGAACAACAGAAATTGTAATATGTATGAATAAACTTTATATAGATATAAAGATGTTTCTCGTACCTAAATTAATATAAAACACTGTTTATAGATAAAAGAATGTTACTGCAGTATTTGTAAGAACAAAAATTGTGAACAACCCAAATGTTCATCAATGGAGTGGTCACACAAATGTTGGTATATTCACACTATGGAACACCATACAGCATGAAAAAGAGTGAATAGAAAGGGTGCTTAGAAAGGGCTTGGAAAGGTGCATGTAAAATAGAGGTGGGAAGGGTGTTAAAAAAGGTCCTTTTGCCTTGTATCCCATATATTTTAATTCAGTGGAATTTGTAATAAAATAGCATGGATTTCTTTGAAAACAAGAAAAATGGCAAAACAGTACATAATAAGAGCTGTCATTTATCAAGCATTTCCAGTGTGGCAGGTATAGTATACAGCACTTTTTCTCTTTCCAGCAGTCCCACGAAGTTGGCATAATTTGTCCCCATTTGACAGATGCAGAAAGTGAGGGTTGGGGGGTGCTGCGTATGTAATGGGCCCAACTTAACCCTGTGCGTTCAGGGGCTGAGCTTGAACTCAGACTCTCTGGCTCTAAAGCCTCTCTGTAAGTCACAAGAGTCTTGTAGTGAGTGTTCCTGACTGCTGGGCTGCTGCTTCCAGGGAATGTGGATGGCCTTTAGGAGAGTATCCAATCCTTTGAGACGATGGGTTGCAGCGTGGTGCCCAGGACCCTTGTTAAATGCTGCTGTCCAGGTTATCCTTGTGGTGTGACCTACAGTGCTTGGTTGCATCCCAGCAGATAGCAGGACAAAAGTAATTCCTGGAAAGCTTTTCTGTTTGTTTGAGGGCTCTGTTCTATAAATCAATGGGAATATAAGAAATGCAACTTTAACCTGCAGCATAATTTAAAGTAACACAGTGGAGTATATCGTTGTGGGCTTTTATTAAACTTAACTTGGTCCAGTGGGAAAAGACAAGAATGGTGTTAAGTTTAATGATGGATTTCCATTTTATAAGTTATACCCCTTAATATGGATATTTGGCACATTTGGTATTAGGATGGCTGTTACAGAAACCATTAGAGAGTATTCTTGAGCGCTTGTTACCTGATAGCCTTCACATGCTTTGGTTTCAAAACAGGGAGGAGAAACTGACGATCGGAGCCCCTCTGATATGGCAGTGGGTATTTCCCCCTGGAAGGAGATTTCTGCCCTGTCCCCTCTCTGTCTTCAGCTAGGATCCCTGCTTTCCTGTGAGGACAGGACAGGTTTTTTTGTTTGTTTGTTTTAAAGGAAAGAGCTGCTACTATCTAATCAGGATCCCAGGCCAGGAAGGATAGTGTAGAACTGTGTAAGTGTCCTCAGATTTCTGCCATAGCATTTCCTGTGTGGATTCTGCACCCCGGGACAAGCTCCAGGCCACACACTGCCTGTCCGTCTCTCCTGTCCCGTGCTCTGCTCAGGGGGCTACCCCATCCTCTGGTTGGCAGTAAGTTAGGTTAGGTCAGAGCCCAGAGCACATTGCCTGTTTACAGTCAGAAACAGTGTGACTTCGAAACTCTTTGGAAGTATTATCCCAAAATACCATAAAATGAGAATTTACCCCATGACATGAAAACAAAATGAATTCCATTTTCTTTTGTCCATTTGTTCATTCATTCAGTAATATCTCCTTAGCCCTGCTGTGTGTCAGGCCCAGTGCTCAGCACAGATAATACCAGGTGGAATAAGGCACGACCCTGGCCTTTGGGGATCTGCATGTCTGGTGGGGGTGGGGAGGGGGACAGGCAACCAGGCAATCACTGTGTATTTTGTAAGTGCTGTAATGTAATAGGAGCTAGGGCAGCAGCTGGAAAGAAGCAGTTCCCATTTACTGAGTGAATAAACAGCACCCTGGCACGGTGTCTTCAAAGATGACTTGGTGTCTTCAAAGATGACTTCCGTAGGAAGTGACATGTGAGTTGGGTTGCAAAGGGGAATGGTAAAAGTGACAGGATATTCCCTGATTTTTAGTATAGGAATGCTAAAAATGACGAAATTTCAAATTTGCCTGGCTTCCATTAAAATAAACCCTTTACAACAAAGTTTGCCTGTATGTATCCTATAATTTTTTATTTAAAATTGGAAAGAACCATACAGGAAGTTAGCTGGAAATTTATCAAGGCTCCAACAAACATCGAATGTGAACTACATGCTCCCTGTTCTCCCCACAGCCCCACTTTGTCTTCTCTCTCATGGTCTCTGTCAACGGCAGCCTCTTCCTTTCTCCTTTGGAACACTGATCTTTGATAGGAAAATAAAGTCCCTCATTACTGAGGAAAAACTAAAAGGAGCAGACTTACTGTCTGTATCTCCACCTGTAACCCCTGAAATTGGTTACTACTGATGGGCCCAGAAGGGGAAGAAGGGGAGAGTTATCTTTTTCTTCAATTTCTATTTAGGTGTTTTTTGTAAATAGGCTGGAACTGCAGTTATTCAAACATAGAAAGTAACCTTAAATCCAAGCATATAGTTTCGACACGCTGCAAAATTGTTTTGTAAAATATATTTTTAATGTGATTTTTACATTTTGTAGTATTGCTAATAATTTGGGTGCAGTATTCTGCCAAATACATGCTTAGTTAAGTAAGTCTAATGGTGTGAGGTTTGCAATGTAGATGAGGGCAGATGGGTGCTGATATCTAGTAAGTTCAGTTTCCTTAATTCGCTCAACCTCCAACATCTGAAACCCTTAGTGCATGTCCTTTGTCACATAAATGTTGGGCCAAATACAAATATCGGAAAAGCCCAGTGCACTCTATGTGACCTTCTAGACTTCCTCAGCTGAGTCTGGATGTGCCACAACAGTGCTCTGGAGGTGGAAACGGTTTCAAGGTGTTACAAAAAAGGACTGCTGGCTTTTGAAGACTGGCTGTAGCAGCAGGTCCCCACCCTGTTGTGTGAGTTTGAGGTTGGTTGTGATGAATCTAAGCGATGGAATTTTTAAACAACATGTCCAAGTAAATGCTGCCCTCTCAAAAGAAGCTACCTTGGGAGACCATACCACTGTTCGGTTGATGCTCAGATTCTTACCTGAAGCAGAGTTCCTCATCTCAACCGATTAGATTCCAGCTCCATCCTTGAAAGATTTGTCACCATGAGATACTGTTTTAAAATGGAAAGAAAGGTGCTAAAGGTAACAGACAAGTTACAACACTAAATAATAGCAGAATTTTTGAAATAAATTTATTCCTATGTAATGTGACATATTTGAGAACTAGAACATTCATTTGAACAGTATACCTCCTATATTGGCTAGAGGGTATATTGGCTCTGGCATAACTGAGTCACTTTCCCTTAGTTATCCCATCATAGTAAAATAAACGTTGTTAGAACCCAAAGGAGCATGTTCAGGAACGTTAAGGGGAAGAACAGCTAAAACCACTCATTTATTTAGTCATCCCAGACATCGGTGTTGGACCCCGGATGTCCACTTCCAGACCTGTGCTTCCTATAGGGTTATCTACAGGAATCAGAGCTCTTCCAGGCTTTTCTAATACTGTCCTTTTGTTTCTTTAGGTATTTCTGGAAAAAGCCAGCTTCTCTTTGCACTGGTCTTCACAACTCGTTACCTGGATCTTTTTACTTCGTTTATTTCATTATATAATACGTCCATGAAGGTATGGTATAGCATCCAATGAAATGTATTTCACCCATACGTTACAGACCTATGGAAACTTCACCATGAAGAACATTTTTTCGGTTTCAAAGCAGTATCTAATTAAAGTGCTTTGCACTTAGAAATTTTTTAATCTTAAGTTCCTTGAGTATGATAAACTTCTAAAGCTCTTGATAACCCTATAAGAAAGAGGGGAAACTTATGTTTTCAAGCAATGGGAAATTACAGACTCCCCTGCAGGTCTGTTCAGAACAAGGAATGAAAGCCAGGGCTCGCTGCTGTGAGAGACTCTGTGTGGGCATCTGCTTCTTTTTTTCCCCACTAAGTCCATGTTTTTTAAACTTCTGTGTGTGCCATCTGTATTACTTTTGCCATGCTTAAATAACATCTGTATCATAATTTACTAAATATGTTTTTTAAACCTTTTAATTTGTCCTAAACATTAGTATCCATGGTACCTTTGGTGTCCTTATATTTTTCCTAATCCACATGAAAGCAAATGTATTACTGTTAAAATACAGAATGTGTACATACATCTAACATCTTAGATAGCACTGGCCAATACACGCTGCACACTCATTCTTTCACGCAGTACTGGACATGTACTTACTGAACACCCACAGGATCGGGCCCTTCCCTAGCACTGGGGACAGGGCAGGGGACAAACAGAAGTGATGGTCTGGTGGGGGGTAGACCAGTGCTCCCAGTACTAAATGGATGGCTACAGTTTACGATGAGTGCTATGAAGGAAAAGTATGGCGGCTCTCAGGATGTATAATAAGAGTCTGATTTCATTCTTTCATTCATTCTTCAAATACTTAGCATCTGTGTGCCAGGCACTGTTTAGGCACTTGGTTATTGGCACCCCAAGGAAGTGATGTTTAAGTTGAAGCCTATTGGTGTAGCATTGAAAACAACTCCCCAGCACTTTGTGTTCACAAACATTTTCATAAGCACAGGTCAAAGTGGCAAAACAACAGTTGAGTCTGTTGTCTTTACTAAAAAAGCAAATTTGAGCTGCCTAGGATCGTTCCATTCTTCATTCCTAAGTGATGGGAGCCTAATAATCAGGAAACTGCCTTACTTAAGAATGCCTAGGCCCCTGCTTATTGTCTAGGCAGGTATTAAAAGCCCCTCGGGATACCTAGCTTTCAGAAGAAGAATTCTTGCTTGGCTCTAGTTTCCAAGCATGTCCTAAAAATCAAGGGAGAGTCAAGTTTTATGTGCTCATAGCTTCTTACTTTAAAAGCCAAACACCGATGAGAGGAGAAAAGCGGCTGCTTTCCCCAGAGACTGCTAAGGCCTTAATGGACATAATGGGTGGGCTGTAGGCTGTATAGGCTGGGCGCTGGGAAGGGAACCCTGGCCACCACATGCCTCGGCCAGATGTTGTGCTGGTGGGGACTCTGACACAGGTTTTGTTTATACGTGTACATTATATGTTATTCATTTGCACGTATACATACATTTGGGTGTGGAGAGAACTTCTCTCACAGTATAAGATATTCATCTTCCTTGATTTTGGGAGGAGGGGTAGTTTTTCAGAGTATGGGTATGACCAACAATTTTAATACCTTGTTGACTGTTTATTTTGTTTTTAAGCATATGAGGGCTTGGTGATTGCTTTCATTTTTCCTTTTGAGTCGCTGGCCCAAGTGCTGCCCCTCGTCGAGTTGTGCAGGGTGGTTTTCCTAAGCAGTAGTTCCAGGCGGTGCATGCACCGGATCCCAGTCCTCTCGATTCACAGGCTAGACCTGCTCTTTGGATTTTGGGCCTAAAATTCTGCAGTCTGAAAATTGGTGTAACTTCAGAATATCAGACTTTTCTTTTGGGTTGGATGAATAAGTATATGGTATTTGACTTTTTTTTTTTTTTTTTAATTGGGGGAACTGGGGGATGGGAACAGCTCTGGGGAATTGGGGGAAGGGGAACAGACAAGTTGCTGTCGTTTTTGTT